ACAATAGTTCTAATGTCTGGACCCGTTGTTCCAGCCACAGTCTCATTCCATTGTGTTGAGGGCCGAATGAGCACAGTGAAGTGTTCTGGAATCCTCATTCTTCTTAAGACTATCCTTGGTTTGTTATGATCTGCACAGTTGAATGTCTGGGCATAGTCAATAAAACACAAATAAATATCTTCTTGGTACTCTCTGCTTCCAGCCAAAATCCACCTGACCTTAGCAATGTTTCATGTCATTTCTGAATCTGGCCTGAATTTCTGACAGCTGCTTGTCAAGGTACTGCTGCAACTATTGTTGAATAATCTAGCAAAATTTTACTTGCCTATGAAGCAATGACATTGTTCTATAATTTGAACATTCTGGTGAGCCACCATTCTTTGGAATGTATCCATAAAAATATGGATCACTTCAACCAGTTGGTCAATTAGCTGGCTCTCAAATTTCCTGGCACAGATGAGTGAGTGCTTCCAGTGCTTCATCAGCTTGTTGAAACAGTTCATTTGGCATTCATCAAATGCTGAAGCCTTGTTTTTGGCTAATGTTTTCAGTACAACTTGAACTTCTTCCTTCAGTTCCATTGGCTCTTGCTCATATGCTACCTCCTGAAAAGGTAGAATGTTGACTAGTTCTTTTGGGTAGAGTGACTCTGTATTCATTCCATCTTTTTTTGATACTTTCTGAAACATTCAATGCCATGCCCATAAAATATTTCAGTATTGCAACTTGAGCCTTGAATTTTTCTTGTGTTCTTCCAGTGTAAGCTATCCAGAGTTCTCTCTTCCTTTTTGGCTTTCAAATTCTTGGCCTCTGTGCTTTTCAATATATTTTACTTTGCTTTGTCTACCCGAGCTACTGTGTGCAATTTTCTGTTCAGATCTTTGACTTCATCATTTCTTCCATTTGCCTTAGCTGCTTTACAATTCAGAGCTAGATTTAGGGTGTCTTCTGACAGTCACTTTGATTTTTTCTTTCTTTATTTAACAAATAAATGACCTTTTGCATTTTCATGAATGATATTTTCATGCCCTCGGCTGCTCATCAGGTCTTAGTTATTAATGTTATTAATGTTCAATGCAGCATATCTGTCCTTGAAATGTTCTTGAAATTCAGGGGGGATAGGCTCTTGGTTGTATTTTGGGTCTCATGAACTTGTGTTAATTTTCTTCGACTTCAACCTCAATTTACAATACCTGTCCCTGGCCTGGTTTTAGCTGCTGATACTGAGTTTCTCAAAAAACAAAACAAAACAAAACCCTACCTCACTTCCGTTGGGTTGATGCCAACTCTTAGTGACCCTGTAGGACAAGGTAGAACTGTCCCTGTGAGTTTACAAAATTGTAACTCTTTACAAGAATAGAATGCCTCACCCTTCTGTAGAGAAACAGCTGGTAGCTTTGAACTGCTCAGCTTACATTTAGCAGCCCAACATGTAACCACTATGCCACCACGGCTCCTTTTTCTTCCCACAGATGTAGTCAATTTAACTTATGTGTTTTCCATGTGTGTATAGTCACCTTTTATGTTGTTGAAAAATATATTTTCTATGAACAATCTGTTGGTCTTGCATAATGTTATCTTGTGATCTCCAACTTCGTTTCTATCATAGTGTTATTCTTTACCAGTGAGGGGGATTATAGCAGAGAAGTACTCAGATTCATCAGTAAGTCCACATTCAATTAAATTGGAATTAAGCATTTACTGAAAACATTCTAAATTATGCACTTAGAGCTTAAAAATTGAGCAAGATGCCAGAGATGGCATGCATCTGGAGTGCTGTGTATGTTTGCTAAGTGTTAAAATTATTCCACTTTGGGAAACTTTAACCTTGTATAATTAGAGTGACTTTACATTTATCTACCTATCTGCAACTTGATTGATGTTTTAAAGCATAATAGTTTCACTTTTAGACTGGACATATTCTTGAAATGAACTTTCATTACTTTCATAAACATGCAATATATATACCTAGACCAGTCTTTCCCAAATTGTGTTCTGCAGAGATTGATATTTATTAAATCAAGAAATGACTGACCCCCAACTTTTGAAAATCTTAGATATATTAACATTTTTAAGGAAATTCTTAATATACATTTGTATATTAGAGGCTCCTAACCCACAAACCCACTGCAACCAAGTTGTTTCCAACTCATAGTGACCCATAGGACAAAGTAGAACTGCTCTTTAGTGTTTCTGAGACTAGGAATCTGACAGGAGTGGGGTACCTCATCTTTCTCTCATGGAGCAGTGAGTGGGTTTGAACTGCAAACCTTGCCTGCACCATAAAACCCACTGCACCATAAAAGTTCTTTGAGAGATTTTTAGATGTTTTTAAATTAATTGAAGAGCCTTGATTTATTATATTTAAGTAGAGTTTCCCCTGTTTTTAACATTGATTCTTTTCTTTACCCATCTTCTAGTGACATGTGGAACACTGGACTCCATGTTATAGCCCATTTACTGACAATTCAAATATTGTGACCTTAGGTTACTTTTAGCCTGGAAATGCCAAAATGCTGTGATTTTTGCAATTTAACTACCAATATAATTCATGTTAGTCACTTTTGCTTAAAATCTACTCTTTTAGAATTATATATATATAATCAGTATCCTGTATTACTTTTGAAATAATGTTTTTAGGAACTATTAACTAAAATTTAGATTATGTATTACTGATTTACTTGAAATGGATTGGAGATGTATGCATATCAGAATTGAACATATTTTCTTCATATATTCAGTAATTTTCTTAATATATGTACAAATACACATTCACATACACAACAATAATATTGACATTGTAGAGTATTTCATTCATGATAATTTATTAACAAAGTAGATCCATTTAGTTTGTTTCTAGGTTTTTGGCATAGTAAATGCCCTTACACAAAACATCTGTATAATTAGGTAATTATATCTACTTGATAAGTTCCTAGAGGTACAATTTCAAGTCAAGTAGTAGGTGAACTTAAACATTTTTAATTTAACTAATTAATTTATTATTATTACGTTCTCTCATTTTATTGGGAGCTCTTACAGATAGCATAACATTCCATAGTTCAATTACATCGAGCAGTGTTGTACAATTGCTACCACAGTCAGTTTCAAGACATCTTCCTTCTTGAACTCCTTGATGTCAGCTCCCCATTATCCCCTACCTTCCTTCCCCGCCCCTCCCCCTAGGAACCCTTCTTTCACTTTTTAAAAAATGTTTACTACATCTAACACCATTCATTATTTCCATTCACATGCAATTCTATTTTTCGCTCCCCTCTGGTGGGGTTATATAGTCATCTATGCTATCAGCTCCCCCTTCTCCGTCCCCCTCCCCAACTTCACTTCCCATTCCCTCAGGGAACCATTACTCCTGTTACTGTTCCTGAATGATTATCTATCTTGGCTTACATAAATTGAATTATTACATATACAAATGAACATATGCAAATCTAACATGGTTAATGAGGTAAAAACAAATAAAAACCATAATTGTAAGGGGAGGAAATATTAAAGAACTAGAGGATAGTTATGTATGTTTATGTATATAAAGACAAATGCAATAAGGAAGCAGATGGACGTTGGTTCTCTACGTAAATCTTACCCAAGTACAAGAACAGTTTGTTCTGATAATGTGGCTCCATGTGATACTCACCTTCCTGACATGATCATGGAAGACAAAATAGGTTCATACGCAAATGTGATGAAGAAAGCTGATGGTGCCTGACTATTGAAAGATACAGTATCTGGGGTCTTAACGGCTTGAAGTCAAACAAGTGGCCATCTAGTAGGGAAGCAACAAAGCCCACATGGAAGAAGCGTACATCATGAGGTGTCAACAGGAAAGAGTATCAGAAGTGCAAAGACAAGCAATCAAATCCATGTGAAGGGGTCGGGATATAGTGGAGACCCAAAACCCACTTGCAAGATAATTGGACCATCTTTCTCAGAAGGGCCACATGAAAGGGATGATAAATCCAGGGTGTGGTATAGCACAAAACTTAAAATTTTAAGAATGACTTGCTACCCAAAAGTTTAGACCAATTTACATTGGATTAATAGTATTAGCGTGTCTGTTCGCTCATTCCCATCACTTGCAATATGGAATTAAAATTTTATGTAGTATCATTTTTCCTAAGTGGAAAGAATGTTATTATTTTTTAAAGTGCTGTTTATTTTTTATTTCATGCATTACTCTATATGTAATAGAATTAAGTAAAAGTAGTTAGAGAAATGCCTAGTCTCTGAGCTTAAGCATTTACACATAATAATAGTAAAATTACGTTATTCAATAACATTATTTTTGAAGTAGCAAACTAAGCTTATTGCCATTATTTTTATCTTGAACCTTTGTGACTCTGTAGGATGAAGTAGAGCTGTCTTTTAGAGTTACTAAGGTTTTAGTTTTTTTAGATGCAAACTGCCACATGATTTCCTATGGACTGTCTGGTTATTTCAAACCACAGAACTTTTTGGTTTGCCACCAAGTGCTTCATCACTTTACTACCAGGTTCCTAGATATGTTATATATGAAAGAAAATGTAAGAACAACCAAAGCTTAAAGCTTTATTTTATTATTAGACATAGTACACAAATTGTATTTATAAATTTGTTCAAGCACTTTTTTGGTTTGCAGCCAAGTGCATAACCACCTCACCACAAGGTTCCTAAATAGCAGTATAGGTAAAAGAAAATAGTAAAATAATAAAATTTATTTTATTCTAAAAACTTGTTTTATTTATTTTATTTTTCAGACATTTATGTGCTTACGTTGGAAATATCTATAAAACTTTATCCTAATAGGTTTTACCTTATAAGTAAAATGATGGTAAACCTTTTGAAAAAAAAGTGGTAGTGAACCTGAGCTTGAAGATCTTTTTAAAATGGGCACATTTTTCTATTAGGAAGTTGTAATTTTAAAGTCTCTTGTTGATCTATAGAAGTACTTTCCAGTTTTACATGAGTGAATGCTAGTAACATAATTAACTCATTCTTTCTGCCTAAAGGAGGAAGAAAATGGCCTTCCATGAGAAACGGAAACTTCTGAACTACTATTGAGCTATGACTTTGGCTTAGCCTCAAAGCCTGCATTGTCTTCATCTAATCCCGCCTCGATGGACGTCTGTGACCTCGCCCGAGTACAAGTGCTAATGAAACAGAACCGGCTGTACAGTTAGAGAAACCCTTCGCTATAGAGCCACATGACGGTTGTCCATATTCATATTTTTGCCCATTCTGTACAATGTATTGCTTATGGGTAAAAGGAATGAAAATAGTTTTTAGAGCTATTTTATTGCATATAAAAATTATATATAGCATGTATTAATACTGACAGAAAAAATACTTTCCCAACATTAGTGTTCTTTTATTTTCAGTCTCCAACAGAATGTCCCCTCTTTCAGAGAACAGTGTAATTCTTGACATTGGATTAAGAGTTTGGGTGAAGAATGTAGAGCATGAAGTGCAATATGAAGGATTTCCAAAAATGCCTGATGTTGCTTTTTAGTACCCGTACAACAATGGCTGCTTTGTCAGGGACAGAGTTTTGGACGTTATCTTTTATGTATTATTTTCTTAGTGAAAGGATATAATTTAATATTTGAATCTAATCATTGTATTTATTTGACAAATTGCAAGCTAGTTTTTATGACTTTGGAATAGATATAAGAAACAAATTAAAAAGAGAGTAGGTAGAAATATCAGGAATAGTTTTATTTCCCATGCATTAGAATATAAACTTAAAACCATATACTAGTTAACATATATACTTTGTAAGATTTCAAATATGTTATTTTATCGATTTGATTTCTTTAGTAAATTTAAACAATATCCTTATTTTAATTAATTTAAGTGTTACTTGCAAATTTTAGCATATACTTAATTACAGTTAGGTAAAATAATATGATTTATGTACAATAATATAGTGTACCTCATAAGTTATATTTGTTGTTATTATTGTAAAGCCAGTCACTTCAATAACATAATCAAAATGTGATGCAAAATGTGGTAAATTAGAAGTAGAAATAATGTAGACGTTACAAGTATGTATTCCGGGAAGATGGATGTGTTGGAAAGAGGTTGTATTAATGAAATAATATCAATAAAAGTAATACCAAAGTACACATTGAAACAGAATCAAAGCTGGCACATTTTGGAGTGTTAGGCCCAGACGAGGACAAGATGAAAGCTAAGGCAATGTCACTTCATCTGGCCCTGGCTGTGTCAGGGAAGTCTCTGATAGGTGGAGAGGGACCTCGGGTCCTTTCTATATGTTTTTTTACTTTCCTGTAGGCTCAGTGAAGAAATGTCAGTGTGTGGCACCAGGACCGTGATACTGCTGTTCCTACATGTATACTAAATATGTGGCAGGTTCAGTCTTATTTGAATGAGGCGCCAGCTCAAGGGCACACTTAGGACACTTTTGGTAAACTCTATACTCAAGTCCTAGAGAAAAAAAAACATTCTCAGAGACTCAGCCTTTCCATTCCTGACTGTTGGTACTTAGCAGCCAGGAACTGTTCTTGGGCTTGATTTCTGATGCTTTTAGAATCTCTGATCATCTTGCTCTGAAAAAATATAAAATAAACACAACAACAAAACAATTTGTAATATCTTTCAGAGTTTTATCTAAGCTCTCATATTTCTCCCTCCAAATTGATTTTCTTTTTTATTACTTAGACAGTTGTATTTACTTACTGCATATTTCTCTGAGTTAAAGGGTTAAAATGCACTACTTGATTTCATTGTGGTATCTACTGATGAGATTTTACTGAAACAATATATGATTTTTCTTGGTAACAGCGTAACCCCCTTGCACATTAATCTCCTATGCATGCCATGTGCATTATGTATGTGTGCATGTTATTTATGTGATAAATATAATCTTTAGTATGGAAAAATCTCATCATCTTACAATTACATACCTGGACTTTAATATGGATGCTATTTATTGTGATGCTTTAATAGAAATTAATGTGAAATAGTGTTAGTCAATCAACAAAAGTACAAATAACTGATCTAAAATCTCTCTCTCTCTCTTTTTTTTTTTGATAGTGGGATAGAAAATCCAAAATAAAGCTATCTGATGGTTCCTCAATTTCAGAACAGAGCCTTTAAAGCAAGGATGGGAGCAGTTAGATATGAGTAGTCACAGATCTCGTGGACTTTTGACTTAATTTAGGGTGGATATTGTGCAACAAATATGAGGGAGAAAGATGAAGTTATCTGCTACCATAAAGAGTTACAACATCAGAAATCCTGTATAGAGTCACCAATAAGAGTCAGTTTGGGTTTAACTTGGTTTTTCTTGTTTAGAATTACTTCCTATGATAGTTTTGTATGTGTTTGCAAGTAATACTCACTGAGGTAGTGAGGTGGTAATGCATGACCTTCTAATGTCCTTTAGGAAAATAGAAGAAGCAGAGAAAAGATGCTTAAATTGGAAATGTTGTGCTGGAGCCCACTTAGGTTAGACTGAAATGAAATTTCCGGCAAGTTTTAGGCTTCAGTTTGACAGGATGCTTATTTGGAAGTGATAAGATAAGTTTTAAGAAACCTTTCTATTTCTGAAAGTTGAATAAATCTGCATAAATTCTGCCTGGTCATGCTCCTCCCTACTGGAACATTGCAGTTTCAGCCAGGCAGTAGAGTCACTGTAAAGGCCCAGATTTACCAGTTTTGTGCCTATTTATTTCTAGGGTAACGACAGCACAATTCTTCTGATATACTTAGTTGCATTGGAATAATATTAGAGTTCAGTCATTCTAAATAGTAATTTTCCTGTGAAATTATATTATATTCTGACCCAAGGACTTTAGAAAGTGCATATCAAAGTCTACTTGTTAAGCAAAAAATGATTTCTTATAACTCAAAGATATATTTTTTGGCATAAAGCATATATAGTATTATTCTGTGCACAAGTGGGGCCAACATGGACCTTTTGCAATTTCATTCATATTAAATAAAATTCCTTGCAGATACTTTTCATGAACCATTCTTTTTTGGATGAAATAATCTCACAACAGAAAGAGGGGTCCAATATGGCCACGTCGCCAGAGACCCTGTGAAACCTTCTGCAAAGGAGGTTTGAAAGAAAGCAGACACATTTCAGCTGCTTGAGTTCTGGAACACCTCGGAGGAATGGAAGCTTCTAATTACATCTTGGCATCTTAGAGGGGGGAATTGTCACAAAGAATCCTTCAAAAAAACCAAAGATTCAGTGCTGCCTAGCAGGATGCCTGTGGAGCCACCCCTCTCCACAGCTTTCTGAACATTGGAAGTGAACTGAAAATCCCCACCTCCTCATCCATGCTACTTAACACCAAGGGGCACACCAACACTTCTCCTCAACATAATGGATAGACGGTCAAGTTTGAATTTAGTGGGAAGATTCACATGTTTCTTCACCCTGGAGCTGAGAAGGTCTTGACCTACTCACTGCATTCCAGCTGGATGGGGAGGTTCAAGTAATCTCTAATCTGGCTCCCCACACCCTACTGGTACTCTTTGGGACTAGACTGTAATGGAACTTCTCTGGAGCACTGAGTGGACAGGTTGACCCAGTGGATGTGCAAAATTAGGTGAGCCTATGTTAGGGGAGAGAATCATCACAGCAAAGATTGAGTATTTCTCTACAGGCATAGAATTCAAAGTGCTATCGTTTGCCTGTCTGTCAGCCCATGCCTAAATAGAATTTGGGCCCTACTCTGACATACAGGGTCAGCAAAAATAGTCCCACATGCAAATGGGCATTTTTTCAGATAGTCTATTCTATCTTCCATCTGGTTGGGTGTGTTGATTGTTGCCTGGAACTCCTTGGAGACATGGAGACCAGCCTCAAGGTCAGAATAGCAATGAAGGCAGTATTGAATTGTTTTCTGCCTCTGGGTCCTGCTGGCGGTAGGCTAGTGCCAAATTGCCTGGCCATCTCGGATTATCTGGGTTCTACAATAAGAGAAACAAACAAACAAACAAAACAAAACAATACTATGTCTCAGAAGCAACTGTCATTTTCTGCACATATCCAGAAACGAGAAAAATCAACTCCATTAACTGGAAGACATACAGATGCGGACTCAGAGGAGGTCTTGGAGAAGGAGAAAGCTTTGGATACTCCCATGAGGGATGTTTAGCCGATGGTCTCCATCTACTTTAAGTGGTTAGAGGGGGGGAAATGATAGAAATACGGAAAAACTGTTCTCTAAAAAATTTGAAAATCTAGAAGAGATGGATAAATTTCCAGAAGTGCATTTCCTACTCAAATTAACACAGACTGATCTGGAAAATCTTGACAAACTATAATACAAAAAGAAATAGATTTGGTCATCAAAAGGGTCCCAACATCAAAAACTATCGGACCAGATGGTTCTTCTGGGGAATTCTACCAAACATTTATAGAAGAGTTAACACCAATCTTATGGGAACTGTTTCTTAATATAGTAGCAGACACTGTACTACCAAATTCATTTTATGAAGCAAGTATAATCCTGATAATGAAGCCAGGCAAAGACATTACCAGAATTGGAAACTGTAGTCCAATATCCCTGATAAATGTAGACACAGTGATTTTCACCGAAATTCTACCCAACAGAATTCTACAAAGAAATTTTTAAAAATGCATCATGATCAAATGGAATTCATACCAGGTATATAAGGATGGTTTAACATTAGAAAAACAATCACTACATAAAATAAAGTATAAAACCATATCATTTTATCAATTGATGCAGATAAAAACAACATCCATTCTTGATAAAACACTCACTAAAATAATCAAAGGGAAATTCCTCATCCTAATAAAGAACCATATATGCAAAGCCATCTCATTTAAAAGAGAGAAATTTCAAGCGTTCCACCTTGTAGGAGAAGAGGCAAGACGGCTGCCAAATAACAAGCACAGATCGCAGCAACTTTCAGAAAACAATCCACTCGGAGGAATACCCTGAACTTGCAGTGAGAATTTCAACTTAAACATAAGTCGAGCCAAGTGTCTTAAAGCTGGAGAACGGCAATGTCGGCGGACAGACCTCTCTTTACCAGCAGCATAAGCAACAAGCACAGTGAGCCATGTTCCTCCTCAGCACACCTGATTTGTCCCAGTCCCTGAGGCAGCTCCACCAGCCGAACCTCTTGCCTCCCTGCTCTATGAAAGAGCTCCGCATGGGCAGGTGGGCACAGACATCATCAGCCCTCAAGCTTAAGCTTTCATTGTATTCCCTTCCCGTCCTCCTTTCTTGCTTTGGGCTCCCTCACCCACAACCATATCCACTAGCAGCTTTCTCAACCCAAAGGTGATTTTGTTTTCTGCTTACTATTATTTTTCTCAGTTTCTATACTTGGTTCAATTATAATACTCTGATATTTTCAGAGTTATATCCAACTTGCTCTTCCAGTGCACCTTCACCGTCCTGAGAATTTCCATTCTTCTCAAGCAAAAAGAGGCAGCCCTTTAGATTTTGGACCATCTACCCAAATGAGCTTTTTTAAAAATAAATAAATAAAAGCCCTTCTGAGTGCACGGACATGCCTACATTCACATAGCCATAGCAAAAGAATGTAGCATTGATGCCAAGACCACACTCTAGTCTTTTCTCGTTTTTTGTCCCTCATTTCCCTGCAATTTCACCCATTACCTCTTTCTGGTCTCTCTCACTCTCTTTCCTCGTGAAATATATTTCAGTGGAACTTATTAATTCTGCTTACCCCTCTTAAAATACATTTTACCATTATTTTTATAATTTTTTGGCCTCTCCAGAGGGCCACTTATTATCCCTATCATAACTTTTATTTTATTTCCACTCTTCCCCCCACCCCATCTTCCCCAATTACTCATATTTCTCCCTTTCCCCCCATTCACCACCATATATTTTCCAGCTCCTACTAGACCTCTCCCAAATCCCCAAATATAGAGTCAAATATCTTTGCAAGGCCAGCAGCTCACACATCTTTAAGAGTTGTACCATGGTGGTGAGGAAAGAGCAGTAAACCACAGTAAACCAAATGCACCAAGAAAAACAAACACAAACAACCGAATACCACCCAAACCCAATGGAGTACTCCGAAGAAGAGGCCATGAAATTACCCAATACAGAATTTAGAAGAATGATGGTTAGGTCTTCTCAAGAGCTCTCTCTGCCTTTTCAATAAAGAGCTCTGGAAAAAATGAGTGAATCTAGACCCATACCTCACCTCACAGCATGTACAAAAATTAATCAAGACGGATTATAGACCTAAATATAAATCATAGATCCATAAAGACCATCCATGAAAAAATAGGGACAAACTTAAGGGCTCTAATGCAAAGCATAAATACACGACAACATAATGAAAAATACCCACACTAAAGAAGCCCAAATAGAAGGCTCGCACCTTCTAAAGCACACATTCATGCTCATCAGTATACTCCATCAAAAGAGGTAAAAGAGTCTGCCGATTGGAAAAAATATTTTGCAACGATATATCAGCTAAAAGGCTAATTTCATAAATCTATAGAAAACTACAGCACCTTAAAAATAAAATACAAGTAGCGGAATCAAAACATGGACACAAGACACAAATAGACAGTATACTAAAGATGGCATCTAGTAGGCTAACAACCACATGAAGATCTGTTTGCATTCAATAGCAATAAGAGAAATACAAATTCAAACAACAGTGAGATATCACCTCACACCAACACTCTTATCAACATTCATAAAAACAGAAGATAATAAATGTTGGAGAGATCGGGACGCTCATGCATTGCTAGTAGGACTATAGAATTGTACAACCACTGTGGTGCTTCCTTAAACAAATGCAAATACCTTATGATCCTGTAGTCTCTCTACTGGGTATATACCCTAAATAAATAAAGAATAAAACACGAACACCCATATGCACAACTGTTTATAACAGAAATTTCTATAATATCCCAAAGAGGGCAACAACCAAGATCTCCAACTATAGAGGAATGGATAAGCAGACTAGGGTACATTCATACAACGGAATTTTAATCATCTGAAAAATAATGACAAACACCTCACAACTTGGACAAAATGAGAGAAGGTTATGCTCAGCAATAGTCAGTCTTATAAAAATAAATATTTTGTGAAATCATTTTTATCAAGGAAAAGAAAAAATGGTTTCACACTAAAAGATAAGACTTTAAAGACTAAGACAAGGCTAGGTCAGGGTAGGGGTGGGGTGAGGAAGGGCCACAAAACTACAGAGGGAAGGTGGGGGAGAAAAGAAAACAAAAACTACATGTAATAAGGACACATGATTTTTTCTTATTCTTCCTTTTAGAAATTATCTTCATATAAAATAATTCAAAATAATAGAGGCCTATATATTTGGCCCCTGTCCCAAACTTTTAAAAATCCACATGCCATTCCATGATGAATTTTCAGGAAGGGCCTGCCCTCCCCAGCCAAGTTTTACATAGCCCTAATAGCTAACCTCAACATTCATACGTGCATAAAACCATGAAACAGTCCGGGGAAACAAATAGGAACCAGATGAGGAAAGCATATAATTTCACAGATTTTTTTAGGCGAATACAATTCCTGTGAGTAAATTATTCTTCCCGGAAGGCTTCTAGTTCTCCAGAATATATATTATTATTATTATTATTATTATATATAATACTTTTCAAATATATATATGAAAAGCCCTAAATTCTACTTTGTTAGAGAAAAGTAGTAAGAAAATGGTTAATCCCAAAGTTAAGTATATCACATATATACCTTTTTAAGTTATTTAATGCACAAAACTAATGCTTTCAGAACATTTTATGAACATTTATTATAAGCCTGTTATTTTTCAATACAGTTCTGGCCATGTCTTATGACACAGTTCCTGTTAGAGTACTTTGTTGGTAACATTTATTTTGCAAGAGAATACATGTTTTCAATACTATCCTTAGAGGTCTTTTATTCTGCACTATTGATATGTGGTCTGTCTTTTTATCATCTTGTGCATTTGTATTTATTACCTATTTTAA